CCTTTTGGACGTACAAATTACGGAGGAATATTTTGGAAAAATTATGAATTCAAATTTCAACCACATTTCCAGAAGATACATTTTGATCTGAATCTCATATTGAACCCCATCCCCAACCCCTCAGTATAGTACTTGAGTAAATGTACTTAGTTACTTTCACCGCTGCTTTATTTTAGCAGGAGAAGGTAGGAGAAGGGCGGAATGAGTTCACCTGTGAGTGTGATGTAGGTTCATGATCATTTGTTGATGTTGGACTAGATTACAACGTTAGCTTACGGAGACGGAGGTGAACTTTATGGGCGGGGCAGTGAGATGAGGTGAGGGGTGGGGCGATGTGTTGGTGGGCGGGGCAGGGTGTAAAGGCGAGGAGCCGGAGGGGGTCAGCAGCCTGTCTGATGGAGCTCTGCTGCCTACCTGCTCCTCCTCAGCGCCTCCTCCACCTCCTCCTCCCCTGGTACTGTAACAGACAGAATACACAGGAGGGGAGACGTCAGTGAGCATCCTCAGTTTCACACATTTTAAGGTTCAAATGTTTGTATGGCGAGTAAATCAGAAAACAAAAAAAACAGGCACGCGATCACATTTTAATAATTAAAAAATGGATTAAAAATGTCCATCTTGAGTTTAAAGTAGTTTTAAAACTACGTCAATATTTTTATTTGCCCATGCTGGTCTTGCCCCTGGCTATCATTTGAATAGCTTTTATACAACCTGGTCTTACTTCTAAGTTGTCAAATACTGCCGCTTGGCCAGTGGCCCTCCATTTCAAAATACAACGCTGTAGGTATCCCTCTAGGGTCATTTCTGGACACACTCACCATCAAAGTCAGGTAATGTAATCAAGAGTGACAACGCATATAGAAGTGGTGGGATGGATGGATGGCTCAGACAAACACAGGATCCAGGAGACTGCTGTTGGTGTCCCGTGTGAAACCAAACGTAAACTTCTTTTAAGTAACGTACATAGGTTATTACATCAGGTGAATTGCATTTCTTAGGATCTTTTCCTAAACTTAACTCAAGTAGGTTTTGTGTCTAATCTTAACCAAAGTGCAACCATTCACATCATGAACCACACAAGCTCTATTTTGAAAGTCTATCTGGCATATTTATTATTGCTAAATTGGCCAGAAGTTGTGGACGTTACACCTTTATTGTTGCCCTGCACCTCCAGAAACGACTCTAGAGGATACCTACAGTGTCATATTTTAAAGCGGACCCAGCTGCAGTATTTGACAAGCTGGGAGTGAGAATATGTTGCTTTTATACAAGATTTTACAGTAAACTCAAATAATAATAAAAATAAACAGGATAACAGGACAGGCAACTTACAGGACTCGGTTCCAGTCATGTGGGCCAGGACCCGGAAGGACTTGGACTGCATGCTGGTGCTGCGGCGGCCCCATTCGCCCAGGTCCTGGTCCTTCTCTGCACTCTGGACGGCCTGATAGACCGGGGACGCGCTGTCTACAATACGGTCTTTAACTGGGAGAGTACTGCAACCACAGACAGAGGGCGCCAAACCCCCCAAAACCAAACCAGGTCAACACCAAGACCCTGAAGCGAAAGCTTTAGGGAGTGGACCTTTAGGAGCCTTTAGTGTTTTATGTTACTTATCAGTTGAAGAGGGTTAATTTTTGGATGCCCTGCTGCCTTGGAGCACTGAAATGTTTTTATGATTTCCAAAAAGACACAAGCAAAAAGGTGAATTGATCTTTCATGAGGTGAAAAAGAAAGCAACATTGAGCTGGTGTTGATTTGATTTTGCATGACATGAAGATTGAAACAGTGAAGATGGCTGCTGTAAACGGGAAGAACCAGAAACTCAGTGGTTGTTACATTCTACAATGCTCGGATGTTAAATTCTTCGAAACTCATTTTACATGTGTTAGATTGACAGAATGAACAGATTTAAACCAACAAAAGAAGGAGGAAAGGGCTCAGAACATTCAGTTTTCATTTGTAACTTTGACCAGTAACATCAGTTTCTTTCTTTTGGTCTGTTTCATGGTTTTGTCTCCTATCCAGCGTTACTTCAACACAAGGAAATTACAGAAATCTTTGTTGTGTGTTTGGTTTCTTTCTCAGTAAATGAGAGTGTGATGTGACACAGGAGCATCAATGGTTTTTCAGTGAAGCTCATCCTCTGTAAGACTGGATGGTTTTCGTTCAGGCATTTCAATTAAAGCGGGTTTATCAGGGTATAAAAATATAGCATGAAGAATGGGTATGTAGATGTTTGGAGCAATATCATCTTTCCTCTCAGGAGGGAGAACAAGAGCGATTTTTCATGCACACACACAGCAGCACGTCTGTCAATGCAATTTTCCAGCAGGATGGAAAATTGATTGTTAGTGTAAGAAGAGGAATACACAGTAGCAGTTTTTTTCTCCATGATTGCCATAACACCACATAATCCAACAACGTTTGCCTCAAATCCCAATATAACAGTTCAATAATAAAAACAAATAAATGAGTAGGTTTGTTGACACAAAGAAGAAGATACAAAATAATAATCCTATTTAAAATGATTATTATTGACAACTGGTACTAGATAATGTTTGTATGTTTACAAAGAGCTCTGTGCTTTTGATGTCTTTTTCAGGGAATACTAACTTTTTTTTACTAACTCTTTAACAAGTGACATATTGCACTCAGTCCACACCAAACGTTTTACTTTAAAATGCCTTTAAATTAATTAAAATTCATGTTTTTTGCCTAATACATCGATAATTGGTGAGTCGTAGGATGATACAGGGGTGTTCCTTCAGTTTCTCTGTGCTCATTGAAAAGCCTGGTCCAGTATCAACTTGTACA